TCTAGCTCTATTCAGATTTTATTTATATATTGATTGATTGGATTTATATATTTATTTTATATATTATTTATATCCTACTGTACATTTCAGGAGCTCAAGGCAATTTAGAAAAGAAATTAGTCCCGGGATGAAATTCAGCAGGTTCTAACCACTTCTGGAGAACCAGTAGCGGAAATTTTGAGTAGTTCGGAGAACCGGCAAATATCACCTCAGGCTGGCCCCAGAGTGGGGTGGGAATGGAGATTTTGCAATATCCTTCCCCCAGGAGTGGGGTGGGAATGGGGATTTTGCAGTATCCTTCTCCCAGGAGTGGAGTGGGAATGGGGATTTTGCAGTATCCTTTTTCCAGGAGTGGGGTGGGAATGGAGATTTTGCAATATCCTTCCCCTGGAGTGGGGTGGGAATGGGGATTTTGCAGTATCCTTCCCCTGCCACGCCCACCAGGCCACGCCCACAGAACTGGTAGGGGAAAATTTTGAATTACACCCCTGCCTTAGTCTTCCTGGCCATACCTCTTGTAAGAAAGGCTGAACTGAGTAAGAGTGCCTAAACCCTCCAGTGAATTTATCTGACTAATACTGGGGTCTCCCTGCTGCTATTCCAGCACCATCCACACTACACTTGATTGACTCTTTGGCTGAGAGGGACCAGTACAAAATCAACCAATGAGGTTCTGTAGGTAAGGAGGAACTAGAATTTGGATCTCCCTGTTCCTGGTCCAGGAACTTCATCATTAGCCATAATGGCTCCTGGGTTGAGAGCAAGTTGCTCCCCCAAGCGAATCTCTATGGTTGAGGAGAGTCTAGAATTTAAGTCTCCCTCCTTCAATACCTTCACCATCATCCTTCATTGGCTCTCTGGTTCTTTTTTTTTTAACCATGTGCGGAAGCTCTAGCGATGTGGGATCTACTGGAGAAGAAGGCATTGCCAAAGCTGCCTTTAACTGTCAAAGGATCCTTGGCTCTTCTCGTGGCTCCTTTCTACATCCTTTCCCCAGGACCATAGCACCATCATTAACCACCTGGCTTCTTATAAGCATTACTCTGAGCAGGTGGACCCCATATCTCATGCCCGAAGGGCCATTCGGAGAAATCTTCAGGCCAAAGCTTACTCAGATGGCCAAGCCGATTGACTTAATGCAGAGTGTCATACCTGGAAGCCATCTTTTAACTTTGAGCCTTCAGGCCTGCTACAAATTCTACTGTGGGAAAATGGGAGGTGGGGTTGTATGGAGTGAAGACGATACGTAGTCAAAATAACATTCTTTCCAGAAAGTCAAGGCCGTTGTGCCCTGCAGCTGTGCTGAGAAGAATGAGGAGACATCTTCTGTTCCGGAGGGTACCTGATTGGTTTGTGTGATGGACATATGGGTGAAGGGCAAGGACTTGAACTTTCTTTTGGGTGAGAAAAACCCGGAAGCTCTCAGATTCAGATGTTTTCCCAGATGTGCCAATATAACATCTCTAATAAAAATTAGCTTTGAGGAAACTCAAGCCTCGGAGTTTGAATTTGTTGGGGGTGTGTTCTGTCCCTGTACCAAGCACACACCCAACCAGCCAGCCGAGGGTTAAATAAACTTTTCAAACACACAACGTCAGTGATAAGGAACTTGGCAGCAACTCCGTGACTGCCTGCCAAGGGCTTTTACTCCGATAATCCAGACAAAAAATACACACAGTTCGTAATTGAATCCACAGCAAAATAGGTGTTGTGTCCGAAGGTGCAAAGTGCTTCGCCAGAGATTAGCTTTGTCCGTCACAGAGTCTAAATGGCCACCACACTCTCTTATATAGCCTGTGGGGTGTGGTCCAGTGACTCAGCTTAATCCCTGGCACGCCTCCTCATCTGCTGCAAGTGTTTATCTCGCCTTCGTTGGTGTGGATCCAGGAACGACTTATCACCCTCATCGCTGTCATCGGAGACACCTGGCTCCTGGTCAATCTCCTCTCCCTCGGCAGACACCTGAGGCATTGCCAGAGAGGAGGGGCCTGGAGAGGGAGGCCTGGTCGTCTCCTCTCCTTCATGTTCGGAGCCTTCTTCCTCCGATAAGATAGGCTCGGAGGACGGAGCCACAACAGGGTGTTACTTGGAACCCTGACACAGAGAAGATTACAGCTTCTCCTTGAGTTCCTGCCTGGACTGGTTCATCACCAAAAGGGACTCCTGGATTTCCCCTCTATCTTAGTCCTGGGTTTGCGGCCATTTTACAATCCCCACCTTTGCACCACAAGGAAGAAGGCTGAAGAGTTGCACCAGTCAATTCTGTCTCCTCAATTCCTTACTATACTAACTCCAGGTTTTTCCCCCCTGCTAGGCTAAAACTCTTAAAATCTTATACACGAGGTAAAGACCCATTTCCTTCATGGGCAAAAATAAAATAAAATAAAGGATCACAAACAGAAGAGATGGTGATGAAAAGGGTCATTCAGAAGAACAAGACTTCTGGGCAATATTTCATAATCGTTTTTACAGGAGGCTTTTTAAAAGCTCTCTAATAATAGCGACTCAGTATTTCATGCAAACGTCCTTGTTCTTTCCAGCCTTCTTTTGAGCATGCCTCTTTATGTTTGGGGGGAGGGCGGTTCTTTTCTTAAAATCAGAAAATGTAATAACCTTAAGGTGTTGTCTGCTTTGGTTTTTGTTATGCAGACAGGGAGGCAGGGAGAATTCAGGTACTGCCCTGTAGCAAAAACCATGCGCCTTTCTCGCCAAAGTTCCCAGATTTGAGCCATGCCTGGAAAGGCAGCAGAGCATTACCCAGAAGTCTCTTGTCTTTCCTGCCTCGTTGGTGCATAGGTAGCCCTTGACTTACAACCACAATGGAGCCCAGAATTTATGTTGCTAAGTGAGAAATTTCTTAAGTGAGTTTTGCCCCGTTTTACGACTTTCCTTGCCACATTTCTTAAGTGAATCACTCCATTTGTTAAGTTAGTAACACCGTTGTTAAGCGAACTTGGGTTCCCTATTGACTCTGCTTGTCCGAAGGTCGCAGAAGAGGGATCACATGACCCCCCCCAGGACACTGCAACCGTCATAAATATGAGTCAGTTGTCAAGCATCCAAATGTACATCACATGACCATGGGTTTGCTACAATGGTCATAAGTGTGAAAAATGATCATAAGTCACTTTTTCCAGTGCCATTGTAACTTCGAATGATCACTAAGTGAACTGTTGTAAGTTGAGGACTACTTGTATATTATTCCTTATGGGAAAAATGTATTTGGGACTCATCGTTTGTGGTACTCATTGCACCTCCCAGAACCAATTTAGGATGAGTACCGAGGTACCACTTTATTCCATATTCTGTAAGGGTCCCTTTTCTTTTTTCCTTGTGGTCATTTTGGATTCTCCCAGAAAAAGCTTCCACTGACAATTCTCTTTTCTGCCTCCTCTGTCATCTCTATCTTAGTCCACCTGCACAACCACACTGGACGTGGAGAGGAGATAAGTCATGTAGCTTAAGATCCAGGTGGATCTTGACAGACTTGAACCCTGGGCCCTATCTAACAAAATGAAATTCAAAAGTAAAGTTAGACAAGAAAAACCAAAAGTACACAAATAGACTGGGTGAAACCAGGCTTAATGGCAGTGACTGTGAGAGGGATCTTGGAGTTTTAGTGGACAACCAATTAAATATGAGCCAGCAGCGGCAGCCAAAAAAGCCAATACAATCCTAAATTGCATTAACAGAGGGATACAATCAAGATCAAGGGAGGTACTGATACCACTCTATAAAGCCTTAGTAAGGCCACACCTAGAATCCTGCATCCAGTTTTGGTCAGCACGTTGAACTGGAGCCATGACTTCAAACAACAAATCACCACCAAAGGTCAGAGCAGCATCTGGGGAGAACGTCCCAGAAGAATTACTCTATTATCCTCATCCTTGTTGGAGGTACTTGTCAAAATTTCTGATCAACAGTGCAAATAGGAGGTAGTGAATTTAATAACTCTTTTTTTCCCCCTCCCATGGAACCGAGCTCTTCTAGCAGCGTTAACAAGCTTTGTTTCATTATAACAGTGACAGATACACCGTCGCAGTTTGCATAACACACCACTGTTGACTTTGGATGCCGCACTAGACTTCTGCTTTAGCAAAAAAAAAAAAGTCACAGAGCCAGCCAATATACAACTCACTTGCCAATTAGAAACGTGTTACATGAATTAGGACTTTTGCAAAAAAAAAGAAGGATTTGAACGCAGCAGACAAACCTGATTCTTTCCATAGGAAACAGCCAAACGGCTGGCTGTGAATCAGACAATTTTACACACGGAGACACACACAAAGACACACACGCATGCAAACCTTTTCGCCATAAGGCCACATATTACAAGAAGCGAAACTTCAAAATAGCTCCTGCACAGTTCAGAGATCTTAAATAGGTCAGTGCTTCACCGTGGCTGTCACAGAATTGGACTTGGCCCAGGTAGAAGGTGTTTTAGAGGCTTGTGAGAGAGTTCCTGGAAAAAGGGATAATTCAGGCTGACGGGGAGAGGAGAAGAATAAGTGTCTCTGTGTGGGTCACCCAGGATCTTGGCACAGATATGAGCTAATGAGCACCTGTAGCCTCTTTGCCCAGCCACGCTGCATTTCACAATCATACCGACCACCAGAAAGAATTCCATATATCCCACCTAGAAAGCAGAACGGATCCCCGAGCAGGAAAGAGAGCAAGGCTTTCTCTGCAGCGGCTCAGCCGCGAGCAAAGTGGTTTGGACACCGAGCAATGAATGACTAATAGCGGAGGGATGACATTTTTAAAAAACGACTTTGCAGAAAAAAAAGTATCTAAGAATAAAACCGTAAGAGAACCACAGCTTTCTTGGAACGATCCTTATCTCAAAATAGAAACGCGGCATTTTAAGGAAGGGATTTATCACGGAGAGCATCCACTTCGAAGGCAGCGCTTCCCCGGTTTGAAGCATAAAACAAACGCTTGGGGAAGGCAGGTTATTTCATAATTATGGGATGCCGAGGCAACTCCGCTCTTCGACTCACCGCTGGAGCAGTCTGGACCTCCCCATCCGGGTTCGCAGTGACAGGTGTCTGGAGACACACACCGTCCGTGAACGCATTCTTCAGTGCAGAGAGCTAGGGACAGAAAGAGAGACGTGTTACCTCAGTGTCACAGGCCAGAAAAGCTGGCATAATACCATGTTTCCCCAAAAATAAGACTCTGTCTTATATTCTTTTGAACCCTGAAATAAGCGCTTGGCCTTATTTTTGGGGAGGTCTTATTATTTTGGGGCACGTGGAGCAAGATGGGGCTCCTCTTGCTGTCTTACCTGATTTCCAGCTCTGTCTCCCTAACCCTAACCAGAGGAAATGGCGAGGCCCTGCTGCACATGGGCTTAAATATTTTCAGGGAGGGCTTATTTTCGGGGGGGGCTTATTTTAGTGCATGCATTCAAAAGCCTGATTGGGTTTATTATCCAGGGAGGTTTTATTTTCAGGGAAACAGGGTACGTGTATGCTGTTAATAAAATTTCAAGCAACCTCATTTGCTCTTTTTTTTAAAAAAAAAATTCCCAGAATTTAAATTCAAATTTTAGCTGGAAGGCTAAAAATCCTGTAAGCCCTCACTGTCAATTCTGCTCAACAATTATAACATCGATTCCCATTGGAAAGCCAAATGGGTCGCTTAGCGTCCAGTTATAGGAAGACACATCAATGAGCCAGTGGTGGGATTCAAATAATTTAACAACCGGTTCTCTGCCCTAATCATTTCTTCCAACAACCAGTTCACCAAACTGCTCAGAAAGTTAACAACCGGTTCTCCCGAAGTGGTGCAAATCTGGCTGAATCCCACCACTGCAATGAGCCCACAAAAATGGTGACAAGCTTTGAACTACCACGTCAGCAATGGACAATCCTGGATAGGATTCTCCCCTCACATGTTGTCTCTGTATAAATGGGGCATAGCATCCTCCCCTCAATGTGACTGCAAGGCCCCACATCGAAGTGTAGATCACATCGTGACCGGCTGTAAACTGAGGGCATTTAGTGGTCCAAGATCTGATTATTATTTTTTTAAATATAAACCAGCATTTCTCAGCCTTGGCAGTTTGAAGCTGTGTGGGCTTCAACGGCATAGCTGGCTGGGGAATTCTGGGAGTTGAAGTCCACACATCTTCAAATTGCCCAGGTTGAGAAACACTGATATATAGACCATGTTGTGCTTCAATGGTTAGATGGCCTAGACCAGGGGTGTCAAACTCAAGTCCCGGGGGCCGGATGTGGCCCACGGGGTGCTTACACAGGGTGCTTAGGTCTGGCCCAAGGGGCCATCCTGGAAACAGTGAAGGACTGGCCTGCAGTGCTTCTGCCGGTAAAAACAGAGCTCGGGAGGGTCACATTGTCCATTTTTGCTGGCAGAGGTTTGCAGGAGACCATCACAGCCAAAAACGGAGCTCAGGAGCCTGTTTATTCTGGCCGAGCACTCGAGTCACCATAGGCGCCCCTGAAATGAGTGACGTCAAGCTGGCCATGCCCCCCCTGGGTCCTCGAGGTCAAACGCAACCCTGATGCAGCCCTCAATGAAATCGAGTTTGACATCCCTGGCCTAGACATTGGTATCTGAACATAGATCTTTTTGACATTTATATTTTATTGCATTTTATTAATCTAGGTGAAATGTTGATATATACAGTATATTGCAAGTCCATGTATGATATGCCATACGCTAAATAAATACATTCCCAGAAAAATGTAAAACACGCAGACATGCAACTTGATCTGACATGCAGAATATTCTGAGCCAAGGCACTTGGAGACACTCTGCTTGAAATTAATATTTTGGTCTCGACCATTTTTCACACTTATGACGGTTGCAGCATCCCCATAGTCACGTGATCAAAATCTAGATACTTGGCAACTGGCTCGTATTTATGACGATTTCAGTGTCTCAGGATTATCCCTTTTTGTGACCTTCTGACAAGCAAAATCAATGGGGAAGCCAGATTCAGTGAACAATGATGTGACTAATGGCAGGGATTCCCTTAACAACTGTGGCAAGAAAGGTCGCAAAATGGGGCAAAATTAAACTTAACAACCATCTTGCTTAGAAATGGAAATTTTGGACTGAATTGTGGTCGCACGTTGTGGATTCCCCTGTATAGCTCTCCATCTCTGAGCACAGCTCTGGGCAGCTCACACCAGGAGTATGAGAACCACAAAACAAAAACTGAAAATCCAGCACCTCAATTATGCTCCCTGGATGCCCCAACCACCACCCTAGCCTCAGACTTAAACAATGGCCTGGAAGACTAGAAGGGATGAGGAGAGGGGTGTCTGCCTGATCACTGGTGTATGTATGCGTGTGTTTGTGTATTTCTGTGTGTCCTACAACAGGGGTCCCTAACCATCCCACTGGTCCATGGATCAGCACTGGGCCATTACATGCCAGCAACCGGACCACCAAACAAGCAAAGCCCCATCCACGGGATGCAGGCAACACACGAAACCATGCCCTCTTTGGTCCACGGAAAAAACTCTCTCCACAGAACCGGTCCCTGGTGCCCCAAAAGTTGGGGGCCACTGTTCTACAAGGTGGGGGGAGCCATGGAAAAGATTCACATCCAAGATCAATTAGATGGTAAAATTTCAGAGAAGGGGTCCGGAGCATTGCTCACCCTTCTCAATCTAGTGGGAGAGGCAAATTTATTTATTCATTTATTTAATTTTTTATGCCACCCACTTCCCCTATAAGGTGACTCCAGAAACCCTCAGGGAGAGGTGGCCCCACAAATAATCTGCTCCTCTACCATATAGAACAGTGATGGCGAACCTTTTTGGCACCGAGTGCCAAAAAGGTCACACGGAAACGTCACACGCGTGTCCACACGCTTATCGGGGCCGAGCTCCAGAAAAGCTGAACTTCCAGGTTCTAGTGCGCATGCGCGCCCAATGATCAGCTGGCTGGCACGCATTCGCAGGCCGGTTTTCAGCACTGCTGTGCGCGCAAAGGGATCACACTCCAGAAAAGCCGAACTTTCGGGTTCTGGTGCACATGCACACCCGACAATCAGCTGGCCGGATCACATGCACACACCGGTTTTTGGCACTGCCGCGTGCGTGAAGGACACCTGATCATCACGCACACATACTTGTCAGAAACCCAGAAGAGAAACAGGCAAGGCCATATGTGCCGGGCAACATGGCTTTGTGTGCCACTTTGGGCACACGTGCCGTAAGTTCGCCATCATGGATATAGAACATTAAGAGCAATAACTAGATCCTTGAATTGTGAGCTTGTGCAGGTGTAACATGGAAAGTTCTAAGGTTGCCCAATTACAGTTTAGCACAGTGTTTCTCAACCTGGGCAATGCTGGCCGGGGAATTCTGGGAGTTGAAGTCCATCCCTCTTAAAATTGCCAAGTTGAGAAACACTGGTATAGCATGTTGCTGACATAAGCCCAGTGGCAAAATCAAAGCAAAAGCTGTGCAGAACCAGAAAGAATGATGCTTATTCATTTGAAAAATTTATATGCCACCCATTCCTCCTCGGGCTGTAGGCAGCCTACAAATTTTCATATACAATAAAAATCATTAAAAACCCAGCTTTAAAAAAAAATCTATGCTGCTTTGATTGATGACTGCCTCCCAGCCAAGCTAAGTCAGGCACAACTCACGAAATTAGCAAGTTGCAAGAACGGCTTCGGAAAACAGCACCAGAAAGGCAGAAAGTTTTCTTCTGATTGGGACAGAGCTGGAGGAAGTTAACTCTTGGCCTTTTCCTGCAAATCTCCCCCTACCCCCCACAAGTTCATGGTCCCAGAGCTTCCAATGCAAATTTCAGGAGGGGTGGGAGGCTCTTTGACATCAGGATGGCTGTAAAGGATTAAAACTTATGTACTTAAGACTGATGCAGTCCTAGGCTGCATCAACAGGGGAACAGTATCAAAATCGCATGAAGTGTTAGTACCACTTTATAACGTTTTGGTAAGGCTACATTTGGAAACGACATCCAGTTCTCATCACCCCACTACAAAAAAGTTGCTGAGATCCTAAAAAGAGTACAGAGAAGCGCCATGAAGATGATTAGGGGACTGGAGGATAAAAAGTATGATGAACAGAGAGAGATGCAAGGTATAACTAAGGAGAATAGTGAGAACAATTAAATCAGAGAAATAGCTTCCCTCCAGGAGTTGTGAGTGGTCCATCACTAGAGGTCTTCAAGAAAAGCTACTTGTCCAGGATGCAGTAAGATTTCCTGCCTGAGCAGGGGGTTGGACTAGAAGACCTCCAAGGTTCCTTCCAAATCTTTTGTTCTACATTCTACATTTATCTATCAGGATATTAATCTGAATAAACTACTATTTAGGTTTGAAAATTTATTCTTTCCATGTCTACTTTGATGACCAGACAAGAAAGAAAATTGTAGGGGTAAATTGGATTCCTTAGAAGGCAACTGTTGAGGGCGAAATTTGCAAAGGCTGACAAAATATCCATTTCTTGGGCACTCCCTCCTCCCTCTTTTAATGGAAGAAGGATGAAATGCAAATTCAGATCAGTGAGAAAAGACAGTTATCCCGTGTGTACATTTAATGGCTGGAATATGCCAGACAACAGCAGCTTGAATTCTGCTGTCAAATCCCCTGTGGTCTGTAACTCTTTTGAGTATTTAATTACTGGGTTTTTTTCTCCCCTGAGCATTTGGGAAGGTTCCCAGGCCTCTGTAATCCTAAGGATCTCTTGCAGGGACTGGAGGATTGTGAAAATAAAAGAAACATATCCCTGTTAAGGCATATGCAGACGTGAAGCAGGCGAAAGATAAATCAGAAGTTAAATTTACAAGAAGTTATACAGTACCTCTGTGTGGTGACCTTGGCTGGATGAATTGCCATTGTTCAATTGACCTCAACTTCCCTATCGGTAAAACAGTGTTTTCCCCATTTTTTCTGGAAGGGAATGAGCTACAGAACAAGAGACGGCCATAAAGACATATTCGCTATTTAACTGATTAAATGTAGCAGTTGGAGGCCTGATAGATCAGCTCCAGCTTGTCCAGAAAGTTGTCAATATCAACAACTTCATTCTAGGTCATTGTTTTTTTTCCCTGTTAGCACACATTTCTAGGTCCATCCGCAAAA